TTGGGGGACAAGGATGCTGCGCGCCACCGCCTGCTGGTCGCAGTGCGGGATGGTGGACAGCCACCGCTCTCGGCCACTGCCACTCTGCTCCTAGTGTTTGCAGACAGCCTACAAGAGGCGCTTCCAGATCTCACAGACCATCCGGTCCCTTCTGACCCCCAGGAGGAGCTGCAGTTTTACCTGGTGGTGGCCTTGGCCTTGATCTCTGTGCTCTTCCTCCTGGCCGTGATTCTGGCTGTTGCCCTGCGCCTGCACCACTCCTCCAGCCCTGCAGCCAGGAGCTGCTTTGGCTCGATTCTCTGCTCAAAGCCTGGACCTGTGCTTCCCCCTAACTACAGTGAGGGAACGTTGCCCTATGCATATAATTTGTGTGTGCCAGGGAATCAAACTAAACCAGAAGTTAATTTCCTCACATCTGTTGATCATTGTCCAGCCACACAAGACATCCTCAACAAAGATAGCTCTTCCATGCTACTGGCTAGCCTTTTAACTCCCAGTACTGAAGCAGACAAGACGATGTTTAACCAGGTATTTAAAATAATGCTTTTATATTCCAGTATGCCAACATATTCCAATATAGTACTGTTTTTGCAAAGTATTAAATAATTGCTGAGGTCCTAATATAAATCTAAGTGAAACTGTGGTTATCACTGTTAAGACAAACGTTTGCAGTGCTCAGTCTTCCTACTACACAAAAACATTTTAAGGTAAGTTTTTGGGGACTTGGATTTTAGCTTAGTGTTAGAGTACATGCTTAGCATGCTCGAGGCCTTGGATTCCATCCCCAGCACCATCTATACAGTACACACATATGAAGTCTCAGGGGAAATTTTCATGAAAATTCATTTAGTTAGGGACATGGTATACAGTTATATTCCTATAGTATTTCAAATGACAGCCCAAGGCCGGGGAGATGGCTCAGTGGAATAAGTGCTTCCCTGGCAAGCACAAGGGCCTGAGTTCAATCCCCGGTTCAGAAAAAAAAAAAAAAAGAATGCTTATTTGGGGGGCCGGGGAGATGGCTCAGTGGAATAAGTGCTTCCCTGGCAAGCACAAGGGCCTGAGTTCAATCCCCGGTTCAGAAAAAAAAAAAAAAAGAATGCTTATTTGGGGGGCCGGGGAGATGGCTCAGTGGATTAAACGCTTCCCTGGCAAGTGCAAAGGCCTGAGTTCAATCCCCGGTTCCGCCAAAAAAAAAAAAAAAAAAAATGACAGCCCAAATGCTATTCAAATTTTATCCAGTGTTTCACCTTTATGTTACTCAAAAGCATTGATAAGAACTAGCCAGGCATCATATCTTATCATCTTACCTGGACCATGTCATTTCTGCATCCATATATTCCAGCTCCTTTTAATGAAAGGTGTAATGAATTAAATTTAATCTGCAAGTTATTAGTTCCAAAAGTATTTTTTGAAAACTTTAAAAATTTGAACAAACCCTTTTTATAATCTCTGCTTTCACAAGTGTTCTCAGTAAACTTCTGCCATCACATTGCCTAATTATTGTTTGCGATATTAAGCTTTACAAATACCTATGATTCACGAAAAGGTAAGTGAAATAATTTTGTGTGTAACAAGAGCCATCCTTTTTTTGTTAATTGTTGCAATAATCAGACTGGGCTCTAGGCGCCGCTGTTGACCAATCAGGGAATGGAAGAGAGCTATTGAGTCCCCCTCCCCGACCTCTATCACACAAAGCAGAATGAGATGGATACTCACGGATCCTGATGCTGGAAACTTGAAAGTGCTGTCTTCAGCTTCTTAACGTATTTTGTATGCGGAAGGCTTGGGAAACAAAACCGGCTCAAGACCACGGAGTCTTTGCTCAGACCCTGCCATGGAGAATCCGACACCGCGTCAGGATCGTAGCGGGCTACTCCCGCTGTGCTTTTTCCTGGGGATGCTGTGGGGCTTAGGGGCCGGGCAGATCCGATACTCTGTGCCAGAAGAGACCAGTAAAGGATTCTTTGTGGGCAACATCTCCAAGGACCTGGGGCTGGAGGCTCGAGAGCTGGTAGAGCGCGGAGTCCGCATCGTCTCCAGAGGAAAGACGCAGCTTTTCGCTCTGAATCCGCGAGGCGGCAGCTTGGTCACCGCGGGTAGGATAGACCGGGAGGAGCTCTGTGAGACCGTGTCCTCCTGCTTTTTAAGCATGGAGATTCTTGTGGAGGACACCTTGAAGATTTATGGTGTGGAGGTGGAAATAATTGATATTAATGATAATGCCCCCAGCTTCCGGGAAGAGGAAGTAGAGATAAAAGTCAGTGAACACGCAACTCCGGGTTCGCGGTTTCCTCTTCCTAGCGCTAGGGATCTGGATGTGGGACCGAACTCACTCCAGAGCTACCAGCTCAGCCCTAATAGCTACTTTTCTTTGCATGTGCGAGGAGGAGCTGATGGGGTCAGAAATCCGGAGCTAGTGTTGGAGGGAGGCCTGGACCGGGAGAAAGAAGCCGCTCACCACCTCCTGCTCACAGCCCTAGATGGAGGCGACCCCACCCGCAAGGGCACCATTCCCATTCGCGTGGTGGTGTTGGACGTAAATGACCACATCCCAAAGTTCACACAGTCTGTGTATCAGGTGAGTGTTCCCGAAAACCTTAGCTCTGGAACGCGGGTGCTTGTGGTAAATGCCACAGATCCGGATGAGGGGACTAACGGGGAAGTGATGTATTCATTCCGGAATATGGAAAGCAAAGCTTCTCAAATATTCCAGTTGAACTCGAAAACTGGAGAAGTTCTAGTACAAGGACCTCTGGATTTTGAAAAATACAGATTTTATGAGATGGAAATTCAAGGCCAAGATGGTGGAGGTCTTTTGACCACTGCTAAGATGTTGATCACAGTTTTGGATGTGAATGATAATGCTCCAGAAATAACTATCACCTCTTCCATCAATTCATTGCTGGAAAATTCTCCTCCGGGTTCAGTAATTGCTCTTCTGAATGTGCAAGATCAAGATTCTGGAGAAAATGGTCAAGTCTCCTGTTTCATTCCTAATAACCTTCCTTTTAAATTAGAAAAGACTTATGGAAATTATTACAAGTTGATAACAAACCGTGAGCTGGACAGAGAACAGATCCAGAGCTACAATATAACATTGGAGGCCAAAGACCAGGGAAGTCCACCCTTGTCTACAGAAGCTCACCTCTTGCTGAACGTGGCGGATGACAACGATAACGCTCCAGTTTTCTCCCAGTACTCTTACTCTGCCTACATTCCTGAAAACAACCCTAGAGGGGCCTCCATCTTTTCAGTGACTGCTGTGGACTTGGACAACAAGGAAAATGCTCAAGTCACTTACTCTCTACTGGAGGACACTATCCAGGGGGTGCCGATATCCTCCTATGTATCTATTAATTCAGATACTGGCATCTTATACTCAATTCAATCCTTCGACTATGAGCAGTTCCAAAACCTGCAACTAAGAGTGGCTGCATATGACAGTGGGGACCCACCACTTGGCAGCAATGTATCACTGAGCTTGTTTGTGCTGGACCAAAATGACAATATCCCTGAGATCCTATACCCCAGCACCCCTACAGATGGCTCCACAGGTGTGGAGTTAGCACCCCGCTCAGCAGAGCCCGGATACCTGGTGACCAAAGTGGTGGCAGTGGATAGAGATTCGGGTCAGAATGCCTGGCTGTCCTACTGCCTGCTCAAGGCCAGCGAGCCAGGGCTTTTCACAGTGGGGCTGCACACGGGAGAGGTTCGCACAGCCCGGACACTACTGGACAAAGACGCTCTCAAGCAGAGCCTCGTGGTCTCTGTGCAGGACCATGGCCAGCCTCCCCTGTCGGCCACCATAACCCTCACTGTGGCCGTGGCTGACAGCATCCCAGAAGTTCTGGCTGACTTAGAGAATCTAGCATCTCCCGCCAACCCTGATGAATCAGGCCTCACGCTCTACCTAGTTGTGGCCATCACCGCAGTCTCCTGCATCTTCCTCATTTTTGTCATTGCTTTGCTGGCACTGAGGGTTCGGCGCTGGCACTCATCTCGCTTTCTCCAGGCAGCAGGCAGTGGACTAGCAGGTGTGCCCCCCTCAAACTTCATGGGTGTGGATGGGGTGCAGGCTTTCCTGCAGGCCTATTCCCATGAGGTCTCTTTCACTGCGGACTCTCGGAAGAGCCACCTGATCTTCCCCCAGCCCAACTATGCTGACACGCTCATCAGCCAGGAGAGCTGTGGGAAAAGCGAGCCTCTCTTAGTAGATTCAGATACCACTTTAGCCAAGTATGACCCGACAAATAATCAGGTGAGATTTACTTCTCTGCCTCCCAATTTTTGATGTCTTGCTGTGAGTCTTTTAGAGGGATTTTTGTGGAGCCTATTATGAAAACTTGATTTTGGGTGGACATAGTTCATACATGTTTAGTGATGTATGTACCTTTCGTGTGCTTTACCTTTCATCAGATCACCGTCATTTTTCTGAAAGGCTTTGTGAAAATCACATTTATATTTTTAGTCCTGGCATATTTTCCTTTGATTTCAAAAGATCAGTTCAATGACTACAGCCTGTTTTGTAATCAGGTGAATTTTAGTATTATTTTTCTGTCATCATTGTCTATCATTGTCAGTGTAAACTGTGATTCAAATTAATGATTTACAAACATTTTTATTTATTTCACCAGTTTTTTTTTTAATTTTAAGGAAGGGTCTACAGGGTGTTTAGAGTCTCGCTACTAGATTGGATGTAGTGATTCACCTGTTTACAGCCTCCCAAGAGCTGGGATTTCAGACATGTGCCACCACGCCCAGTCTCTTTATTTATTTCAGTTTCACATGTCTATTTCCTTTTCATAGTGTCTCCAATGATATATAGTGATAATTGTGTCCTACCATTATTTGCTACTACTTTGAATGTTCAGATTTAACCCTGTTGATTCATAGTATTCTTTCCTTGGTTTTGATTTATTTACCTGCACACACATGAGTATATGAATATATTTTTTTTCTGAGCATGAAATAATTCTGTTTTGATTTTTTGTTGGTTGGCATATATTTAGATCCTGTTGACTTTCAACTTTACCTCGTTTCTTTATCCTATCATAACAGACATATTAATTCTGTTTCCTTGGGAGAGAAAATGCAGAGTGCTTTTTGTAAGTTCCAGACTTCGTCTCTATTGCTCTAGTGAAGTCACTAGATTGTTTCAAAGAAATAATTGAATTGTTGGACAGATGTTATTTTCTTTCATTCTTTTCCTTTAGTGTCTTCTCAGAAAGCTTTGTTATAGTAAATTCACATGTAGAAATCATTTTGATCCAGGGTATCTAAAAAAATTTTTTTCAAACCTGCTAAAGATGGTTTCAGCAAGGGCCTGAGTTCAATCCCCAATTCCGGAAGGAAAAAAAAATGGTTTCACCTTAAATTAAAAAGATGGTTTCATCTTTAAGTGCTCCCTACAGAATAGTTTGTGAGGATAAAAGATGGGAGAAGGAATTTAGACTTTCTAAGAGGCTGATATAAATTCTTAGAGTATGACTCATGGGGGAGCATATGCTTAGCATACAAAAGGTCCTGGAAACAAACTACACACACAAGGAGATTGAGTGATATTCCTCTGAATATTTTTTGTTCATTTTCAATGTACCTAACAGTGATAGATTTCTTTCTTTCAGAAGCATATTTTGTATTACATTTAGGTATATGGAGTTATTGTATTCAGAAGCAATTCACTGTTTAAGTCTTGCTGCTTGTCTAATGAGGCACATGTTATCTGAAGCAAGGTCCAGGAAGGCCAGGCGAGGTAGAGGCACATGGGCTATTTGAGCACAGGAGTCATTTCCACAATCAGGTCAGCTCAGCACTCTTCCTCCGGCTTCTAAGTCTTGACCCAAATTACATGTATGGTAATATTCTCTTTCAAATTCCCTTGAAGATGACTGTGATATAATTAACTGAAAATTGATTAGCTAGTTCTTCAACAAAAACATTCTAACTGCAAGAAAGGAAAATCTTCTAACAGATGCCTAAACTTATCTGGAAGTCCAAAAAATTAATGAAAAGTAAAAAGATAGTTGACTGGAGGAGGTAAGTCATTCCATATTTTTAAGCAGAGTCTAAACTAGTTAACAGCTGGTAGCCAATATCTTGGAGAACAAAAAGGAAATAGTAGCTTTGAAGCTTGGTGTTAAAGTTATTTTGATTTGGATGTAGTGATAAAGTTTTGTGAAGTTGTAATTACATTAAAAGATCTATTTATTTTTACAGGTCTATTTAAATAAAAAGATCTTTAATTTCATTAAGTTTGTATGGCAAACTCCTAGGCTATATATTTACATTTGGTTTATAATAAACATGCAAACACATAATAACCATTTTCTAAAACTTTTACTATGAGTAATTAGGAAGGTTTTTATGGCCATCTTTATTTTGAGTATGTGTGATATAGCTTTGAGGGCTGGTGAGATGGCTCAGTGGTCTAAAGCACCTACTTAGAACAAGCTAAGCTCAAGCAAAGCACAGAGACCTCGGTTCAATCCCCCAGCACCACATGCTGGCCCGCCCGCCCCCTGGTGGGCTGAGCTGGCCACACACTAAATAAATAAGTAAATAAATAAATATTTTTTAAAAAAAAAAGATATAGCTTTGAATACTTATTTGATGAAAGAACATGATTTGCATGTTGGAGTGAAGAAAATACAGAATGTCATTTTATTGCTGTCAAAACCTTTCTATGCCACTTGGTGGGGCTATTTTTCCTCATGGTCTTTGTTAATCTGGAGAGAAGACTTTCCCTGTTCTTCCAGCTGTCCATATTCTTTGATTAGGAAAAGACAAATTTCTCCTGTTAACTAGATTAGTGGCTCTACTATAGAACCTGTCTCTAAAGAACTTCCTTTGATACTAAACACTGGAAAACAGACACGTTTTCAAAACTCATAAGCTGTCTCATTGCTTACACATAAACCTAGTTTACCTGTGGAATATGGAATCCCACTGAATTTGCAAAAGCTTTAGACTGCAGTTTTCTAAATAGTCTCTGAGCGCCGCTGTTGACCAACTCGCTGCAAGAGCTGGAGCCCAGGGTCCCGGGAGCTTGACTGCGCAACCACAGAAGCCAGGCTGAAAGGAGAGTGCCCCGGACTTGGGCTCAGGGTTTGGGGGTACCCTCAAACTGGGATCATTGGATTTTCTATGCAGCGAAAGTAAATATTTGCAAAGCCATCTGTGAGGAATCTTTTGTTAACATCGGAAGCTGCAACAACACTCAAGAAGGATGGAATACAGAGGGAAGCAGAGGCGCCGGTGGCGGCAAGTACCCTTTCCCTTTCTTCTGCCTTTGTTCAGCGCAGCGCTCTCGGAGCAGATCCGCTATTCTATTCCAGAAGAAATGGCCAGGGGCTCAGTAGTAGGAAATGTTGTTGAGGACCTGGGGCTGCCTGTTGGGAATTTGCTTGCCCGCAACCTCAGAGTTAGTGCAGAGAAACAATACTTTACTGTGAACACCGAGAGTGGAAACATCCTTGTGAGTGATAGAATAGATCGGGAGATGCTCTGTCCTCAGAGCCCCGTGTGTGTAATACCGTTAGAGATTGTAGCAGAAAATCCTCTAAATATTTTTCACATAAATGTGATAATAGAAGATATAAATGATAACCCACCTCATTTTCCCGAAAATACCATTGTTTTACAAATCAATGAATTTGCAACTCCAGGCACTAGATTCAGTCTGGAATCTGCTATTGATACAGATGTAGGAGCTCATTCTCTTCAGAGTTACCAGCTCAGCTCTAATGAGCATTTCTCTCTCATGGTGAACGACAAGACTGAAGACAAGAATGTCCCAGAATTAGTGTTGGAGAAGCCACTGGACCGGGAACAACAGAGTTCCCATCTCCTGTTCTTGACTGCAGTGGATGGGGGAGACCCTGTCCTAACAGGCACTGCTCAAATTAAAATCAAGGTCACCGATGCCAATGATAACCCTCCGGTATTCACTCAGGATGTGTACAAAGTCAGCCTCAGAGAGAATGTGCCCCCAGGCACCTCTGTGCTAAAAGTGACAGCCACGGATCAGGATGAGGGCATCAATGCAGAGATCACCTACTCCCTCAAGTCGCTAAGAGATGGTATTGGAAATAAGTTCGTACTAGAGCATAAAAATGGAGAAATTAAATCCAAAGACCCGATAGACTTCGAAATCAGCAAAAGTTATACCATGAGCATAGAGGCGAAGGATGGAGGAGGCATGGCCACTGAATGTAAAGTTATACTAGAAATTCTAGATGAGAATGACAATGTCCCAGAAGTGGTTTTTACTTCAGTGTCCAGTTCCATAACCGAGGACGTAGAACCTGGAACAGTGATCGCTCTGTTCAAAACATACGACAAAGATTCTGGAGAAAATGGAAAGGTCACATGCCTCATAAAAGAAAAAGTTCCTTTTAGAATAGAAACTTCTGCCAATAATTATTACAAACTTATAACAGACGGGCCCTTGGATAGAGAGAAGACCCCCGAGTACAATGTCACTGTTACAGCTACTGACAAGGGCAAGCCCCCTCTGTCCTCCAGCACAAGCATAACTTTACACATTGGTGACGTTAACGACAACGCTCCAATTTTCCAGCAGGCCTCCTACACGGTCCACGTGGCAGAGAACAATCCTCCCGGAGCTTCCATTGCTCAGGTCAGCGCCTCTGACCCTGATCTAGGACCCAACGGGCAAGTCTCCTACTCCATCGTGGCCAGCGACCTGGAGCCTAGAGCGCTGCTGTCCTATGTGTCTATGAGCGCACAGAGCGGAGTGGTGTTCGCGCAGCGCGCCTTCGACCACGAGCAGCTGCGCGCCTTCCAGCTCACGCTGCAGGCCCGCGACCACGGCTCACCCGCGCTCAGCGCCAACGTGAGCCTGCAAGTGCTGGTGGGGGACCGCAATGACAACGCGCCGCGGGTGCTGTACCCCGCTCTGGGGCCGGATGGCTCAGCGCTCTTCGACACGGTGCCGCGTGCCGCCGAGCCCGGCTACCTGGTCACCAAGGTGGTGGCTGTGGACGCTGACTCGGGACACAATGCGTGGCTGTCCTACCACGTGCTGCAGGCCAGCGACCCTGGGCTCTTCAGCCTGGGGCTGCGCACTGGTGAGGTGCGCACTGCGCGTGCATTGGGAGAGAAAGACGCTGCGCGCCACCGCCTGCTGGTCGCTGTGCAGGATGGTGGAAAACCGCCCCTCTCGGCCACTGCCACTCTGCTCCTAGTTTTCGCGGACAGCCTACAGGAGGTGCTGCCAGACATCAGCGACCCTCCGGAGATCTCTGACCCTCAGGGAGAACTGCAGTTTTACCTTGTAGTGGCCTTGGCCTTGATCTCAGTGCTCTTCCTTCTCGCTGTGATTTTGGCCATCGCCCTTCGTCTGCGACACTCTTCTAGTCCCACTTCCTGGGGCTGCTTTCAATCTGATCTCTGTTCTAAAACCAGACCAGGGGGTCCTCTCAACTACAACGAGGGAACCTTGCCTTATTCCTACAATCTGTACGTTGCATCTGACTCTCATAAAACGAGACTTGATCTTCTCACCATGATGCCCGAATTGGTCACCCCACAAGATCTTCCTAACGAAGCTTCTTTGGCAGTAAGCTTCACAGAAAACAAGATAAACCCTGACTCGGTTGCTTCTACTCACGTGAGTTTCGATAAGTCTTTCATCTGAAAATAGTTTGGTTTAATTTTCAAACCAATATTTTGGCAAGAAAATCTTAAGCAGATCGTATCTATTGTTGCTTTAAGTTTGAATATCTACTCTCAATATTTTCTAGCCCTTTCTCTGTGACTTCACTATTAACTTTAAAGTATTTTTAAATATTTTATCCACACACCAAAAAAAAAAACCTCCAGTGAGAACTGTGTATTATGATGCACTACCATTTAAATATTTTAATTGAACTATAATTTTTCTTTTTGTGGATGTTTCTTAGGCATAGCATCTTGAGTATATAAGCTTTGTTCTTTATTAACTCAATTGAGAGAAAATGCATAAGAAAATATTTTAATGGCATAGTACTTGGTAATATTCCAGTATACTGGAGTGTCTTGGACTCTCATTAAATAGTAATTTTGTGTTTGATTGTTTTCAAAGCTATGCGTAAATTTCCTCCCAATTTTGAAGACATGGCTTTTATTTTATGGCTGTCAGGGCCTGAGGCATTATAGAGCACCTACTTAGCTTTAAAGAGGTCCAGGATTCAATATCAGCACTCTCTCCCCCACCCAGAAAAGTGCTTTTCCGCAGAATATAAATATTTACATTTACGAAAGTACAGTAGTTCTATCCTAGGCAGAAATTTTTCTATATTTTAATATACTTCTAAATATATTACTAGTCATTCTCAGAAATTGAAATTAGGTCTATTATCCAGGACAAGGCAAATTTATCATATTTTTTGTATTTTGATTTTCTTTTACTAAGGCTTTCACAACACTAAACATTCCTTTGAAGCATAATGTGTGAGGAGAATTGTAGAATACTAAAATCCAGCAAATTCACGATGGAATGCTTCCACTTTGTTCAATCCTGTTGACAGATCTTTTTCATTTCACTTCTTGCCAGATATGATCTTGATAGCGTACACGATCACATTTCTCATTTTTTTGGTTTTAATTTTATCATGAAAATCTGATTTTTAAAAAAGTGGTACAGGGCCGGGGAGATGGCTCAGTGGAATAAGTGTTTCCCTGGCAAGCACAAGGGCCTGAGTTCAATCACCGATTCCACAAAAAATAAATACATCAATAAAAAAGTGCTGCATATTAATCTGTTGAAGTAGTTCTTCCATTTAGGCAAGTTCAAGAAATCTATTGAAAAATTTCACCTCAAATTATAGCTGAAGCCAAAAGTTTAAATTATTTTTCAATATAAATTCTAGGGCCGGGGAGATGGCTCAGTAGGATAAGCGCTTGACTGGCAAACGCAAGGATCTGAGTTCAATCCCCGGTTCCGCAAAAAAAATAAAAATAAAAAAAAATAAATAAATAAAAAGGGGCTGGTGAGATGGCTCAGTGGTCTAAAGCACCTACTTAGATACAAGCTTAGCAAAGCACAGGGACTGCGGTTCAATCCCCCAGCACCACATGCCAGCCAGCCCCGCCCCCTGGTGGGCTGAGCTGGCCACACACACACACACACACACACAAATAAATAAAAAATTAAAAAAATAAGATAAATTCTAAAAACAAGAAGTTCCTAGAGATTGGTCCCTTACACGTTTAAATTACCGTTTATGAAAATAGTAACACAAAACACGGACATCTGCAAAAAAAAAAAAAAAATCTCAAGAAAGTGGTTCTGTCTGGAAAAAAAAAAAAAAGGAAATAAAAAGAAGCTCCCTGAAATTTCTACTAAAATGAATACTCTTGGTTTAGTGGGCTCCGTCTCCGTTCGTACTTGAAGAACAGTAGGTGGAGCTATTCGAGGTATAAAAACCAAAACTCCTTTCCGGGAGTCCAAAATTGTGCAGTAATTGGTTAGGACTCTGAGCGCCGCTGTTCACCAATCAGGGAGAGAAATGCCGAGATCCTGCTCTCCTAGCGTGCGCCTGAAGCACAAAGCGCAGATCGAAACGAACCATCTCTGTGAGGAAACGGCGGAGACGCTCGACCCCGCTCCCGACCCTCCGTTCCAAGGACTGAAGAGCTGATACTGACTTCAGTGGTCAACGGCAGAACTGGAAATAATCCTGGAAGAAAGGGACAATGATTCCTGTGCGACAGTACCGGGACCGCGAAGGGCTGGTCCTGCTGGGCGTCCTCTTGGGGAGCTTGTGGGAAGCCCGATGCACCCAGATACGCTATTCAGTTCCTGAGGAGCTGGAGAAAGGCTCTAGGGTGGGCAACATCTCCAAGGACCTGGGGCTGGAGCCCCGCGAGCTGGCGGAGCGCGGAGTCCGCCTGGTCTCCAGAGGTAGGACGCAACTTTTCACTCTCAACCCGAGTAGCGGCAGCTTGGTCACGGCGGGCCGCATAGACCGGGAGGAGCTGTGCATGGGGGCCACCAAGTGCAAATTAAGTCTAGAGATTCTAATGGAGGATAAAGTGAAAATATATGGAGTAGAAGTAGAAGTGAGGGACATTAATGATAACGCCCCTTACTTCAGTGAAAGTGAATTAGAAATAAAAATGAGTGAACACGCAGCCACTGGGATGCGGTTCCCTCTTCCCCACGCTTGGGATCCAGACATTGGGAAGAACTCTCTCCAGACCTACGAGCTCAGCGCGAATACTCACTTCTCCCTGGAAGTGCAAAACGGAGCAGATGGTAACAAATACCCAGAATTGGTGCTGGAGCGCGCCCTGGACCGCGAGGTAAAGGCCGCTCACCAGCTGGTCCTCACCGCTTCAGACGGGGGCGACCCGGTCCGCACCGGCACCGCGCGCATCCAGGTAGTGGTTCTTGACTCGAATGACAATGCACCAGCGTTTGCTCGGTCCGAGTACCGCGTGAGTGTTCCAGAGAATGTGGCTGTGGGCACTCAGCTGCTTCGGGTAAACGCCACCGACCCAGATGAAGGGGCCAACGCGGAAGTGATGTACTCCTTCCGGTATGTGGACCACAAGGCCGCCCAAATTTTCAAGCTGGATAGTAAGTTAGGGACAATATCAACGATAGGCGAGTTGAACCACGAGGAATCGGCTTTCTACGAGATGGAAGTGCAAGCTATGGATAATGCAGGATATTCCGCGCGAGCCAAAGTCCTGATCACAGTGCTCGACGTGAATGACAATGCCCCTGAAGTGGTGGTTACCTCCCTCACCAGCTCCATTCCTGAAAACTCTCCCAGAGGGACATTAATTGCCCTTTTGCATGTCAATGATCAAGACTCTGGGCAAAATGGGCAGGTAACCTGTTCCATCCCAGGGAATGGGCCCTTTAAATTAGAAAAATCGTATGGAAATTACTATAGTTTAGTCACCGATACAATCTTAGACCGGGAACAAGTTTCTAATTATAACATCACAGTGACCGCCACTGACAAGGGAAATCCGCCCCTGTCGACAGAAACGCTTATCTCTCTGGTAGTGGCGGACACCAATGATAACCCGCCCGTCTTCCCTCAGTCCTCCTACTCCGCCTACATCCCAGAGAACAACTCCAGAGGTGCCTCGATCCTCTCAGTGATGGCACACGACCCCGACTGTGATGAGAACTCACAGGTCACCTACTCCCTGGTTGAGGACACCCTCCAGGGATCGCCTATGACCTCTTATGTCTCCATCAATTCCAACACGGGCGTCTTGTACGCATTGCAGTCCTTTGACTATGAGCAGTTCCAACACCTACAGCTGCAAGTGCTGGCACGTGACAGTGGCGACCCGCCACTCAGCAGCAACGTGTCATTGAACTTGTTCGTGCAGGACCAGAACGACAATGCCCCCGAAATCCTGTATCCAACCATCCCCTTGGACGGTTCCACCGGTGTGGAGCTGGCACCGCGCTCCGCAGAGCCCGGATACCTGGTGACAAAGGTGGTGGCAGTGGACAGAGACTCAGGTCAGAACGCCTGGCTGTCCTACCGCCTGCTCAAGGCCAGCGAACCAGGGCTCTTCTCAGTGGGGCTGCACACGGGCGAGGTGAGCACGGCAAGGGTCCTCCTGGACAGAGATGCGCTCAAGCAGAGCCTCGTGGTGTCTGTGCAGGACCACGGCCAGCCCCCTCTCTCGGCCACGGTCACGATCACTGTGGCCGTGGCCGACAGTATCCCCGATGTTCTAGCGGATCTGAGCAGTCTGGAGTCTCCGGCCAACTCTGTAACCTCAGGTCTTACGCTGTACTTGGTGATAGCGGTGGCCTCAGTCTCCTGCGTCTTCCTAGTCTTTGTCATCGTGCTGCTGGCGCTCAAGCTGCGGCGCTGGCACTCAGTGCGCCTGCTCCAGGCTGCGGGAAAGGGATTGGCTGCACTGCCAGCTTCGCACTTTGTGGGCGTGGACGGCGGCGCTCGTGCTTTCCTGCAGACCTATTCGCATGAGGTCTTGCTCACCGCGGACTCGCGGAAGAGCCGCTTAATCTTCCCGCAGCCCAACTACGCGGACACCCTCACCAGCCACGAGAGCTGTGAGAAAAGCGAGCCTCTTTTGCTATCAGGCGATTCGGTGTTTTCTAAAGACAATCATGCATTGATTCAGGTGAGTCCAAATTAAATACTGTTTTTGAGCTGAAAGCAAAATATCCCATAGTATAGAAGATTAGTGTATATATAGAATTAACAACGCAGATACCAATACATATATACGTGTTTCTAAACATGTACATACGGAAACGTATATTAGAAGCAGTACAAACATTACCATTTTATTGATGTTATAAAAATTACTAGATAATATGTAAGGAATCTCTAAAATACCTTATTAATACTTTCAATATAATTTTCTAGCTTAATTTATCAATTATAATGCTCTTCATGTTTTTAATTTTTTTCTTATTGGCCATGCAGGTTTTGCGCCAAGCATCTGATGCCAATTTATATGTTTAAAAACACTGATTTCAGGGCCGGGGAGATGACTCAGTGGAATAAGTGCTTCCCTGGCAAGCGCAAGGGTCTGAGTTCAATCCCCAGTTCCGCAAAATAAATAAATAAATATAAATAAATAAAATAAAAACACTGATTTCTTCTAGAAAGGAAAAATCCAATT